CTGTGAGACAAACTGAGGACAGGTACCTTGGAAGATTAAACAGTGAGCCAACAATGCCTTTGTCCAATGATGCCTTATTTCGTGCAACAGATGGGTCTTGGAGGCAAAGCAGTCCGAGGCGTAGAACAAATAACTTCAATAACTCACTCTTCGGGATAATGTCAGCTGCAAGCAAAAGGGAAAATAACTTGCTTTTCTCTCCTAACTTTGATAATGCTGCTGCAAAGGATGGCATGAGAAAAAGAGTTAGCTCAAGTAGAGTAACAATTAGTTGCCCTGAGAAGGGTGAGGTTGCTGGGAAGCTTGTGTTTCTACCTGGAAGCTTCCACGAGCTAATTGAGATTGGAGCTAAGAAATTTGGTATCTTTCCTGCTAAGGTGATGTGCAAAGATGGAGCTGAGATTGAAGATATAGAAGTGATCAGAGATGGTGACCATCTTGTTTTTGTTAGTGCTTAGTGATTGGTTGCTCAATTCCAATGCTCCACCCACAAACGGCAAGCTTATATAGAATACATATTCAAGTATAGAACTACTTCTTTTGATTTTTTCCCTTATCATCGCTCTCATATTTTTTCCAATTGTAAATTTTGTACCGGAAACAGTTGTTTTAATGCAAAAAAAGAGAACATGTGTTATATTGTTCTTACCCTTGTCATAGTTTTTTATTGGTGAGCTAATATGAGTACATGTTATCTTTTTATTGAGAATTAGTATAAAAGTAAATGGAGAAAACATCAAGCAAGTGAAGTAGCAATTTACTCTACATAAAATTCAATGTCCCTTAATTGTCCTTCCAATTTCCGAAAAAAGAGTTGAAGTTAGCTAAGTCATCAAAATGTACAGGTTACAGAATTGACAGAATACTTTAGCAGCTTCAAATACCATAAATGAGGAAAGAGGCAATGTTGATGTAAATGTTTGTAAATCAAGGGATTATACAGGTTACATAATTGAGTTTAATGTGATGATGCTTTGCAAGTCAAACCACCAAGGATAGAAGATGAACAGGAAACAAAAGTTAGAGTTTTCAAGCAATTATTACCACCAAGGATTAGTTAACACAATGTCAAGATAGATCAAATGAATGAAATTTGTGCAGATAATTAACATATTTGATATATTATAAGGTGAATTGTTTTAGCACCAAGCAACAAATATAATAAAATGGTGAAGAGTAACTTAGGCCATAAATAACTCCACCATAATGTGTATCTTTCACCCAAGTCAAATAAAAAGGAAAACAAGTGACAAGCACTACACCCAACCCATCAATGATGTAAGACTCCACAAGATTTCCAGGATGATCAAAAGTTCAAATGTTCGATTTTTGTGAACCACATTGATTAAGAGAGTTCTTTTAGGTTAAAAAATATATTTGATAATATAATATAATATAATAAGATTATATAATATAAGATTATTTAATTTCAAATTTATAAATCTGATTTTGAAATTTACATTACAAAAATATTGTAGATTTAATATGTCTCTTATTATTCATCTATAGAGTGTGATTGGCAACGACAAAGCCCGCCATTCTTCCTCTTCCTCCTCACTATTTTAATTTCATTTTCTTTCTCTTCTTCCTTTCCATCTATAATTATCTCAATATCTCATTTTCGTTCAAATTTGTTAATAATAATATAATAAATTCATTTTTAATTAATATACCATAACCATTTTCATTAATCACTCTACTCTCTGAATCATAGATTTAGGGTTCGTCTAATTTGGGATCCCAAAAAATATGGAGAAGAAAAAAGTAGCAGTTCCACTTGTGTGCCATGGTCACTCTCGCCCAGTGGTCGATCTCTTCTATAGTCCTGTTACCCCCGATGGCTTCTTCCTCATCAGCGCAAGCAAGGGTATACGCTTTTCTGAATCCACAAATGCATACACTGATATATATATGTTAAGATTTTGAGGTTTTGGGAGTTTCCTTAAACCATAATGACTATTTAAAACATTTTCATATTGCTTATTGTAATTGTTATTATCTATTTTGAAAAACTATTTTAGGTTTAGGTTATGTATGTTTTGATTGTGTTCAGATTCTAGTCCTATGCTCAGAAATGGTGAGACTGGGGATTGGATTGGAACATTTGAAGGCCATAAAGGTGCTGTGTGGAGTTGCTCCTTGGATACTAATGCCTTACGTGCTGCATCTGCTTCTGCTGATTTCTCAACGTATCCCATTCCCTTTTTTCTCAGCTTTTTTTTACTGTTAAGCTTATACATTTTTGTTTGCTAGTTGGCCTTTTAATTAACAGTGACTTCCGGTAACAAAAGGAAACTGTTTGTTTAACTTGATTCAATGTGCATGAGCAGTTGAGCTTATTACTTTAGGAATAATCTGATCATGGGTTTTGACAATTGTATTGAATTATTCTTGTGCCGACCGGTACCATTTGCTTAGGTTTTCCTAGTCATGTCTATTTCCATTTTATAGCAAATTCAGAAGTTGATTATAATGTATTTGATGACCTGTCTTCCAATAATATGAGTCACGAGTGTTTGTTTCAGTATTGTGAATTAGAATCATTTTATACATAGCATTGAATGCAGCATATTATATTGTACAGATTGTAGTTCATTGATTAAAAGTTGAACAATCTTTGTTGCTTTAATGTGCAGGAAAGTTTGGGATGCATTAACAGGAGATGAATTGCACTCTTTTGAACATAAGCACATTGTTCGTGCATGTGCTTTTTCTGAGGTAGGTTTGGCGTGTTATTTTGCTGTTATCATAGTTTTCAAAACTGGACCAACTGGTTCAATAGAGTTAACTTGGAGCAGGTTCATTGACCGGTCTGATAGAGCCACTGGGCTCAATGTTTTCATAACGAACATCAGGAACATGAACTGGTTTGTACCAGACTACTGGTCACAAACTCACAATTTGGCTGATTGAATCGGATTACTTTTTGTTGGCACTAATGGTGACCATGGCATTTGATCATGATCTTTTTAAAACTACCCAAACCCCTCACTGCTAGTCTTATCCTAGTCCCTTTGTTGGCTTAAATCATTGAAGCTAGGGAAATACTTCCAGATATAGGGTTGAAACTCAAGACATAGCCATAATTCATCTGCTTGTTGGTCACCTGACTAGAGACCATTCTTATACATTTATGTTCAATCATTAAATAGTCATTCTAATGCAACAATGTAGATGATGTCAAAAGATTGCTTTCAAGGAATCAAGCCTCTATGCCATGGATAAGAGTGGGACAACTTGCCACCATGCTTTTGTTGCACGCTTTCATTAATGAGGATTAATTTTTATTTTGAATTTATTTCTGTATAATATACTTAATATAGTATCATTTGGTGAAAATATATTTATTGTATTATATGCATATATGTGTATATATTTTTATACTGTCATTATTTATTGAATATATAAGTATTCACAAAACCCCATTTTAGTAATGGTACAACCTCAAAACCTAATGCCTTTCCCTTTTCCGGTTCATAGGATGTATGGTTTTGAAAACATTGGCTGTTATTTTCATACTAGTTACTCTGATTTATGTTGATGTTTATCACTGTAAAAGAAGATAAACAATGTATGAGTGATAAAGTACAAATTAAATGGACCACTGGATGAGAAAACACACAGGAAAGGGGGAATTAGAGTTCTAGAGGCATTAACACAGACATATACCTATAATTTATTAAACGAGATTCCTAATGCCAATATTACTGGTAGTTGGATTTGTTCCATGACTTTTCATCACAATTCCAAGGATCTGCCTGCTTTATGCCTTTACATTTTTTAGCAAAGGCCTTATGTGTACTCTTCAAATTAGAATTTCTCCTTTACTACACATTTCTTCTTCCATTTTACCCTATGTCCCTTGTTAGTTCTTACAAATTACGTTTATTATACCAATCCTTTCCTGTCAAAGTATTGTATTATTTGTCTGGATGAAATTCTTTCTCAATGCTATCTGTCTATTATAGATAGTGTGAAATTTGGAGAGTCAATATCTGATCATTATCTGATCCTTCCCTACAAATGCATCTCCTTTCACATTTATTTATATTTATGTACCCGGGAGCAGGATACACACCTCTTGCTCACTGGAGGAGTAGAGAAAATTCTCCGAATCTATGATATGAATCAGCCTGATGCACCACCCAGAGAAGTGGATAAATCCCCTGGTTCCATCAGAACTGTTGCATGGCTTCATAGTGACCAGACAATTTTGAGTTCTTGTAGTGATATGGGAGGTGTCAGGTATATACTCCATCAAACCATTTGATGCTGAAAGCTTTTCTTGGGTTATAAAATTTGTCGTATTAGCTTGGTTTACGTGTTGTAATTTACAAGTTATCGCATGGGATGCTTTATATTGCACTAAATGTAGTTGATATTTCAAAGGTTATGGGATGTAAGGAGTGGCAAAATAGTCCAAACTCTTGAGACCAAGTCATCTGTGACAAGTGCTGAAGTGAGTCAGGATGGCCGCTATATTACAACTGTTGATGGTTCCACTGTCAAGTTTTGGGATGCAAATCAGTAAGTACCAAGTCTAGTTGGTCAATTTCTTTACCAATATCTGCTCTTATTGTTCATGTTTTTTACTTTGTTTTTTCAGCTATGGATTGGTGAAGAGCTATGATATGCCCTGCACCATGGAGTCTGCATCATTGGAGCCAAAGTATGGGAACAAGTTCGTTGCTGGGGGAGAAGACATGTGGGTTCATGTTTTTGATTTCCATACAGGCAATGAGATTGGTGAGTTATTGGTAATTCATTCTATCATTTCCCTCTGCTGTGTATAAAAATATTTTGATGATGATATCTGGATGGCAGCATGCAACAAGGGCCACCATGGTCCTGTCCACTGTGTCCGTTTCTCTCCTGGAGGAGAATCATATGCCTCAGGATCTGAGGATGGAACCATCAGAATATGGCAGACAGGCCCATTATCTGATGATGCATCATCGGAGGCTGTACCTGAAAATGGATCAATTGAAAAGGCGATGAAGGTAACTGCTGATGAGGTTTCACATAAGATACAAGGTTTTCATATTGAAGATGAGGGGAAATCCAAAGAAAAGGAAGAGGCTGGGGAGTAATGGTGCTAACACTCGCCAAATTCGAATGGCAGGGTGTTAGAGTTACCTACCTAGATCATCGAATGGCAGGGTGTTAGAGTTACCTACCTAGATCATGTGCCCACTTCTACACATGATTAGTAAACAATTTTGTAAATGTTAGTTTATTATTGGATACCCGCCGAACTAAACGACCTTGTTCCAGCTACTTAAACTAAGTTTTAAGTTTGCCTTCCCTAATCCCTTTCTATTTTAGGGTGAAAGGCTATTTGCATTTCATTATATCTTCCCTCTTTGTGAATTTCACAAAGACATTACTTAGATAAGTTGAATAAAAAAGTTTATGATTTAGTTGTAGTTAATTTGGAGTACGAATAATCTCAGGCTGATTTTACGATACTCAGAAGTAGCATTGGCAATATTGTCCAAGCTCGCCTAATGTTATCAACCGAATAACTCTTATTCATACATTTTTTAAGTTATAGCGGAGGGATTCATTGACTTCAAGATTAAGTTTTTTAAACTTGTTCCACATCTTAACCATCAATTCTAGGGAAATTCAATGATTTGAATTAGCGAGTAGATTTAAACCATTGGATTTCTCTTGAATTGATGATTAAGATGTGAAACTCTTGGAGTAAGTGGATCATCTCCCAAGTTATATTCTTTTCATTTTCAAACTATATTCCACAACCTCATACGTTCATGCATTATGTCCTTTACAAAATTAGTACTGTGGTTGGTCTAAACTAAAATGGAACTTCCGTTTTTGCTCAATCCTCTCTCCCTTCTTTATAGTGATATGTTGAGGCTACTTAATAAATCCTCAATTCGAAAATAATGGAAGTTGGATTAATGTGAGTAAGGATGTTTCATTGTTTCACATGGATGGCCGAGATTTTCTCTTATGTCCATTTTTATACTTGCATATATATGGACTCGTGAAGAAGGAAACAGTCTCAATCTTAACCTTAATACATTCGATTAGAGTTTGGGATGTATGGCATCACCAGCTCACAATACTTTGTATCTATCTATCTATCTTCTAAGTTGCAATAACCGTTTTGATTGAAAGAAACAATGCCCCCTCAGAAACAATACACAACACCGGTTGTTGTGATAGGTTACGCACTATGTTCAAGCCTGTTAGCCATTATAAACAAATACGCAATCACCCAATTCAACTACCCTGGTCTCTTAACCGCATTACAGTACCTCTCTTCATCCCTCTCCGTTTTCCTCCTCTCCAAATTAGGGTTTCTCCACCACGACCCTTTCACTATCTCCACCGCCAAGAAATTCTTCCCCGCCGCTCTCGTTTTCTACCTTGCCATTTTCACCAACACCAACCTCCTCCGTCACGCTAACGTCGACACCTTCATCGTCTTCAGATCCCTCACCCCTCTCCTCGTTGCTATTGCTGATTCCCTTTTCAGGAACCAACCACTTCCTTCCAATTTTACCTTTTTATCCCTCCTTCTTATTCTCGCTTCTGCTTTTGGCTATGTTGCTACTGATTCCGCTTTTACCCTCACTGCTTATTCTTGGGCTTTTGCTTATTTGGTTACCATAACCACTGAGATGGTTTATATCAAACACATGGTTATGAATCTTGGTTTGAACACTTGGGGTTTTGTTTTTTATAACAATTTCTTGTCTCTTATGATGGCTCCTTTCTTTTGGTTTTTAACTGGTGAGAATGTTCAGGTTTTTCATGCTCTCGGATCCGGTTCTGGGAATTTGTTTGATCTTACTGCATTTGTTGCTGTCTCATTGTCTTGTGTGTTTGGTTTGCTTATTAGTTTCTTCGGCTTTGCCGCCAGGAAAGCTGTGTCTGCTACGGCTTTTACTGTGACTGGCGTGGTTAATAAGTTTCTTACTGTTGCTATCAATGTGACTATTTGGGATAAGCATGCTAGTCCTGTGGGGTTGATTTGTTTGCTTTTTACTATTGTTGGTGGAGTGCTTTATCAGCAATCGGTTACTGGGCCGCGTGATGCATTGCCATCGGTGGCTATGCAGGCAGATATTGAAATTGGCATTGGTGATAAGGATGATTTGGAAGGTGAGAAGTTGAGAAAAGGGTAGACTTGCTTATAAGCATCTGTACTAGGGTTCTAATTTATGGTTGCAAGGTTCTAAATTGTGGTTGCTGATATGGTTGTGTTGTGTTCATTGCAATTACGAGAAAACCACAATATGGATATGGACGTGGAGACTGCCAAAATAGCAATATTGTGCAGTTTAGAACCTTGATTTGTACTATTTATTTATATTTGAGATGTATAATTGCTGCCTCAATTCCACTACCCGGGTCTTATGAATATCTCAGCAGTCTCAGGAATTTTTTTTATGTAATATGATATATTCTTTTCTAAAGCATATGAAATTGAGATGTTGCTGACATAGTTGTTGTCTTTATTCACCCAGTTCTTCACTTATTATTATTATTGTTTTTGTTTTTTGTTCCTTCACTTCCTTGCACAAAGTGTGTTATTAGTTCTTTCAAAATCTACCATGTATTATTTTCTATTGAAAATAAGTAAACTCATTGTAAATTCTTGCATTATATTTGGTGACCGGAAGTTTTCATACAGGCCTTAAACTTTCTGACAAACTTCTTTGTCATCTTGTAATTTCTCACTGATTTCTGGTGGACCATTTAGCAAATTTTTCTCTTAGGCAATTGTGACTTAATTCACTTCAATGATTCACAGAACCTGGTGCTTTGCTTAGCCATCAGAGTAAGGAAGTAGGTGGTCTTCCTCCGTTGTTAAACAAAACAGTAAAACATAATTGTGGTCTCCATAGCTCAATCTCACTATTCTTGAAGTAGGGAATGTCTCAGATGAAGGGTATGCCTTAAACATGCCTGTTTTAGGACTACAATGGCGTAAGTTTTTCCTGTGTTTTACCTGCAGCTTATGCCATTATATCTGATCTTGCCTCTGCTATTAAACACACACGGTTAGACTCTGTTTGGTTTAACATAAGAAAATGGGTAGAGAGAAAAATGTGAGAAAGAACCTACACACTTTTTTACTCCCTCTCTCCTTTCTCTCCTCTCAACTAAAGGGGAGAAACTTAATTTTTCTCTCCAATTTCTCTCATCCCCTTTCTCTCTTTCCTAACTCTCCTCTATCAAACAAAGGGTTAACGTGGCACACACAACGCACTACAAAAATAAATTTTTACATATAATACAAAATTCACATATAACTTCAATTTCTTTTCCTACTATTTAAATTTTTGTAATAAATCTCAAAATTTCATTGACTGAGACATGGTTGAGAACATGATTTTGGGATAGGTCTTTCCTTTGTTAAACCTTGTGTTAGCTTCACAATCTCTCCCTATTCCTTTTTTTTTCTATTCCTTTTTTTTCTGTTGAGTTCATTGGTCCTTCCTATTTGAGGAACTCTTATTAATTTTAAGCCCCCACAAGTTAAGGCAAGAAATCAAATTCTAAAAGCAATAAAAAGAAAGCTGAGCAAATGCAGCCGCATATATTTTGTAATGTTTTCCTCATCCCCTGTTTATATTTTCAGTTCAGCAGTTTTGTGCTAAAAAAATTCTTAAATGGTCCTTCATAATGTCTTTCCACGAATGCCTTTTTGCATATTTGGATTGGTAAAAGTATTTTATTGAATTGACTATGTAAATTGCACCTTCTGATTAGGATGATAAGATAGAGAAAGAAGAGAATTAAGAGTCATAAAATACACTTATTAAATAAGTCTGAAGTTTGTCTTAAAAGGACCGATGGTGTATTTATCAAAAGCAAAAAGTTGATCATCCCTGTAATGTTATTCCCAAAACCAAGGAACAGGATGGAAATATATATAGCAAGGAGAAGGGGGTTTAAACCAGATTCGGATTAGATTGGAATCCATCCTAGTCTGGTTTTGGGTGGTGAGCATGTTAGCCTACACAAAAGACTGAATAAAGGACTGAAAAAAGTACAATTAACTAGCCTTTAAGTCCAATAACTCATGTATTTAATCTTCACGCAGAAGCTCTCATTTGATGTCTCAATAGAAGGATGAATATATGAAGCTTTATGATCTTAAACAAATATATTATTCTCACAATTTTGAACTTATAAACTCCACCTCATAGTAAGCAAAAAATCTTACCATTACATCAATGTTAACCCTCTAATTTTGAACTGGAATCTAATTAACATTTCTCAAAGACTGTGTTGTGCACATTGCTGTTACTCACAAAATTTAACCATCATATTTTTAACTAATCAGGATGAACATATTCAAGTTTTGAACATATATCATATTAAGACACATGCAAGGAAACCCTAAAATTCTCAATTTAGCTAAAATTTGAGAGTGATCTCACTCCCATTACTCTCTTCAATCGGCACTCTTTTCATCTCTCCTTCATTCTCACCACTCTCCCCCTTCCAGCTGCTACTCTCCGATTTCCCGTCCTCTATACTCTCTGAAGCTCCTTCAACATTAGATTCCGGTGAACTTTGCATCTGCTGTGCCGTCTTGTACACGTGATGCATGAATTCATGGTTGTGGTGTTGATGCAAGAAGTTGTGGCTCTGAGGAGGTTGAAGCAGCTGCTGCGGTGGCGCTGCGTTGTAGAACTCTTGAGGTACCGAGTAGTGTGGTGGTGGTGCATGGGAGATAGGGTGCGTGCCATAGAGTGTAGGCGCGCCTGCGGTGGTGTATTCAGGTGGGACCCAGATTCCTCCTAGGACCACAAGTTGTGATGGTGCACCAGTTTGTGGACTTGGACTGGGTCTTCTGGTGTGAAGCCGATATTTCTGTTCAGAAACAAAATAGGACAAAAAGGGTTGAATATGCATTATGCAAATTGGTATGTACGTTGTCAGTGAGTCAATAATAATAGTACAACAACAAAGGTGCTCTTTTGTATTGTATGAGAGAGAGAGAGAGAGAGAGACCTGGAGATGGCTTTTAACTTCATCATTGGTCAAACCCTCAACCTTCATCAACTCCCTAATCTGTTTTGGAGTGGCCACTGTTAACACAAAACAAAAATTATCACAACTATTTAATATATGTAAAGTATCTTCGGTTTATCTGTTTTAAAAAATAAATACATTAATCTAATGATTCTGTAATAATTATGATGTTTAGATTATATTTATGACTAAATTATCCGGAGGCCAAAGTTGTATGCAATGATTTTGTTTAATTTTCTAATTAAGGTATGCGATTCAAAAGGTTCTTTTTGTTTTGTTTTTGTTGTGTTAATCTAATCAATATACTTAGTATATATTATATACCTTGAGAACCACCAAGCATTTGAAGAGCGTTAACAAATAGACGGTGCAATTCTGGTGACCAGCACCTTCTTGCTTTCCTATGAGTTTGATTAGTAGTAGTTGTGGTTGCTGTGTTTTGTGCATGAGATGACCCTTTTC